ACTTACCTCACCCAAATTACTTGCAGGAAATAATTCAGGTAACTTCCTGCGGGTAATTTTCTCACAAGCACTTCGCCAGCATCAACTCATCTCATGGAAAGAAACACACTATAAAATGTTACTTAAGATTTTTTACTCATAAAACTTATCTATTTCTCTTGTACATGGCTTAAATTCTGAACCGATCCTCATAGCAAGGAACTATTGTGCAAAAACTTGTGCAATTATATGCTAAAAAAAAAAAAGGCTAAACTCGTAGGGGTAAAAAAAATCCTAGTTTCACCTGCCACTGACTAACATGTGGCGAGATTGTTCAGAATGAACACTGATAATTATAATACAGTAACTCCACTTAACCAGTTATATAATTCAGGTAACCATTCCTGGCTGAAACATTAATTACAATCCAACAGCAACAGGGATGAATATACTGTATACTATATATATATATTATATATATATATATATATATATATATATTATATATATATATATATATATATATATATATAATATGTCAGTGCCGAATATGTAAAACTGGTCAATTAGCAAGAACTCATTTAAAATTAAGTCCTTTCTAAAATTTTCTCCTATACGTTTAAAGATATATTTTTTTTCATTAATGTTAATGTAAAAATTTATAATTTTGCACTCAAAGAATCTTAGAAAACTTACCTAACCTTATTATAACACGAGTAATTTATTTTAGCCTTACCCAACTAAATATATTTTAGATTGTTTTACAATAATTTAATTAAACAAACACAGTGAAATATATTTTTTTCGTTAGGTTCAGAATGATTTTGGCGAAATTATTGCATACACAAATTTTCACTTGTCCTATATGGCAAGATGAGCGTTGCTATTTAAGCCAAGATCGCAAGTTCTGCTATTCGGCACGACATATATATATATATATATATATATATATATATATTATATATATATATATATATATATATATATATATATATATATAAATTTGTATTATATACAAACAAAATATACATAAAGATATGAGGTCACAATAAGAGGCATTACCATTCGCTATTAACTTACGCTCTGCCTCACGTGGAGATACCTCAGTTGTACTTCACGTGGAGGTAGGAGGTACCTCAGTTATACATCACGTGGAGGTAGAAGGTACCTCAGTTGTACTTCACGTGGAGGTAGGAGGTACCTCAGTTATACATCACGTGGAGGTAGGAGATAGGTGTAGTATCTAGCCAACATGATGGTACACAGGAGGAGAAAAAGGACCCTTCGTACCCCAGTATGTGACTACACGTACACGGTACCAACCCTGCACCGTCCTGGAACCTGGACAAAGGATGAGGGTGGTGGATCAGTTAGTCTCGTTACGCCATGTTTATATTATCCGTCATTATGCAAAATATAGCACAACTATTTCACCAGCAGTAATATAGGTAAATAATAGCTCTTACCTTGTAAATAAGGAATCCTTCAACAGAACCTTGTATTAACCCGTGTCAATATATATAATATATATATATATATATATATATATATATATATATATATATATTATATATATATATATATATGTATGTATGTATATATATATATGGGGGTGGACAAAATAATGGGAACACCTAACATCTTCTCATAATAATTTTGTAACCTGTGTAAAATCATGAAATTTTGCTATTTTTATGTTTTTGTGATTTATTATTAGTTTTGCTTATTCCTTTTTTCTAAAAATGTTATTTTTTTACAGATTTATCAAGAGAAATTAACTAAAATCCCTAAAATGACACATCTGTCAGACTTTGAAAGAGGTCGAATTGTTGGTGCTCGTATGGGTAGCTGTAGCGTAACGAAAACAGCTGGACTTTTTGGTGTATCAAGAGGTTCTGTCTCGAAGGTGATGACAGCCTTTGCGAAAGAGGGGAAAACCTCTTCATCAAAGAAAAACTCTGGAAGGAAGCGAAAGCTGTCAGATAGGGATCGTCGAACTCTTTCACGGATTGTTAGAAAGGATCATAAGACTACAGCACCCAAAATTGCAGCAGAGCTTAATGAACACCTCCATAACCCAGTTTCCACAAAAACTGTAAGAAGGGAACTTCATAAAGCTGGATTTTATGGGAGGGCTGCAATTAGGAAACGCTTACTTTCAAAAACCAATGTTGAAAAGCGTGTAGAGTGGTATAAAAATCATCAACAATGGTCCTTAGACCAGTGGAAGAATGTCATTTTCTCCGACGAGTCATCTTTCACCTTATTTCCAACCTCAGGCCGAGTATACGTGTGGAGACAGCCAAAAAGAGCATATGATCCCGACTGTTTTCTTCCAACTGTTAAACACGGAGGAAGGTCTGTGATGATCTGGGGTGCTATATCTTGGAAATCTGCAGGCCCAATGGTTGCCCTTCATGGCAGAATTAAAAGTCAAGATTATTTAAACATTTTAGCCGATCAACTTCATCCTATGGTTGCAACACTGTTTCCAGAAGGGATTGCAATCTTACAGGACGATGATGCACCGATTCACGCAGCTAAAATCGTCTCGAGTGGCACGAGGAGCATTCTAGTGAGGTTGAGCATCTTATCTGGCCACCCCAATCCCCAGATCTTAATATAATTGAAAATTTATGGTGCATTTTAGAAAAACAAGTGAGAAGTCGATACCCTCCACCATCATCACTTAAGGAACTGGAGACTGTTTTAGCTGAAGAATGGACAAAAATACCCCTGGAATCTATTCAAACATTGTATGAACCAATTCCTCGTAGAATTCAAGCAGTAATTACTGCCAAAGGTGGTCCTACACCATATTAAAATAAATAAATATATATATATATATATATAATATATATATATATATATATATATATATATATATATATATATATGTGTGTGTGTGTGTGTGTGTGTGTGTGTGTGGTGTGTGTGTGTGTTGTGTGTGTGTGTGTGTGTGGTTACCATTTTGTTCTAGGCACATGTCGATTAGACACTAGGCCTGTTGTATATGAGTGCGTGTGTGCGTGTGCGTTCAAGTGTATGTTGTGTGTGTGTGTGTGTGTGTGTGTGTGTGTGTGTGTGTGTGTGTACTCACTTAGTTGAGGTTGCAGGGGTCGAGTTCAAGCTCCTGTTGTATATGAGTGCGTGTGCGTGCAAGTTTGTGTATGTGTGTGTGTGTGTGTGTGTGTATATGTACGTGTGTGTGTATGTACGTGTGTGTGTGTGTGTGTGTGTGTGTGTGTGTGTGTGTGTGTGTGTGTGTGTGTGTGTGTGCGCATTGAGTACCACTACGTACCATGGAGGACAGGCAGAGAGTACCAAAAGTTATTGTCAGTAACTTGGTGATGGTAGAGGCCAATATAGGGCCCCGCTCGGCCAGCTAGGCTACGCTCCACCTCGTACTTAAGTACACACCTGTAACACAACTCAACAGCTTACTAATAATACCAATGATAAGTAATAATATTAAAAATAAAACATAAGAAACATGTATTTTTTTATTTATAAAATATATAACACCAAGAAAATACAAGACGACACATGAACAATATACTAATGATGGTAATGTATTTACTGCATTACCATCATTACTGAATTTCCTGTATTAAGATCCCAAGATGTGTCTAATTTATCAATTTGTCAGTTCTCTGAACCATTTATCTACATTCCTGTCAGACACAGCAACATCTTGGGATCTTAATACAGGGAATTGTTCACTTGCCTAACCTTCAGGCATGACCACCTACGACTGCTGCACCTCACCTGCCTACAGTATATAAGCAACTTCTTCGTACATATGCTGTATTCTTTTCAAGACTGATGGACTGACTACATCGACTCAAAGCTTAAGGACTGATTACCTCAAACTACTCCTGTTCTTCACGATTCTCCTTTGTATGGACTGATGAAGCCACTGTGTGGCGAAACGTTTCATCATTAAAGTTACCCAAGTGTTGCTTATGTGTAATTTATCAACTGACCAACCTGACTGACTGATTTACTGAATGACTTGATTGATATACTGACTGCTTACTACTTGACTGATTTACTGACTGATGGCTTACTGATTTGACTAACCGACTTAACTGATTTACTGAATGACTCGACTGACTGACTTGAATGAGTGACCTACTGAATTGAATGACTGTAGCGACTTGACTGACTGACCTACTGACTCACTTGACTGGACTGACTTACTGACTGGACTACCATCTACCTCACCATGCCACTCTACTCCCTCCTTCACAATCATCCATAAACACCAGCAACCACAATTTAAGGTACAAAATATTATTTCTGTTGCATTTTTAGCCTTAAGCAATAGAAAAAAAACAGACATTATAACAATAATGAACAATAATTGCATTATTACTTTTATTTTTGTAAGGTTTGGAGACCTAAAAAAAAGTTGTTTGCCTCTTTGGGGGTCCAGGAACTTAACCCTATTTTTCCCATAACACGGATTCGTCCAACACTGTATTTTAAGGAACCTAACTACCGTCTTAATCGACGGTCTACTGTATATATATATATGTCGTGCCGAATAGGCAGAACTTGCCATCTTGGCTTAAATAGCAACGCTCATCTTGCCATATAGGACAAGCGAAAATTTGTGTATGTAATAATTTCGCCAAAATCATTCTGAACCTAACGAAAAAAATATATTTCACTGTGTTTGTTTAGTATTAAATTATTGTAACCAAATCTAAAATATTTTTAGTTGGGTTAGGCTAAAATAAATTGTTCTTGTCATAATAAGGTTAGGTAAGTTTTCTAATATTCTTTTGGTGCAAAATTAATTTTTTTTTACATTAACATTAATGAAAAAAATATATCTTTAAACGTATAAGAGAAAATTTTAGAAAGGACTTAATTTTAAATGAGTTCTTGCTAATTGACCAGTTTTACATATTCGGCACGACATATATATATATATATATATATATATATATATATATATATATATATAATATATATATATATATATATAAAATATATAATACGCATGACTAGTTTCAAGTCTTTCTATATATATACCCTTGCAGCTCGGTCTGAGGACAGACTACCTTATTGTCTACCAGGTCAACCAGGCTCCTCCTGCTAGCGACCAGTAGGCCTACACAGTCATCACAGCCTGTCCGATCTGGCACTTTTAACATGCTTCCTCTCATTTCAAACCTATCGACTACACGTGGATCATTTAGGCTGTGCGTCACCTGTATAATAAGATACATATTAATCAATAAGAAAAGAATTAAATCAAACTCACCGTGTGCAACTACAGGTTATATATACATGATAGTGTTAAGTGAAATATAGACATTTGATGCTGTGGTCCGTCAAGTCTCACCTCTACAGCCTAGCGCTCTACCAAGTGTACTGCAGAGGGTGATAAATACTGCCCGAACCAGGAAATGCTTTTCGCTGGAGAGGTAAATGCCAGTCACTGCTGCAACTCTAGACAGAGGTTTTAAAGGAGCAATACCCCCACCCCACCCTGCTAGGGCATTAGTCAATGAACTGAAAATTGGCAATGAACGAACGAGCTGAGCTGGAGATTGCGAATTTACGGATCATGGGGTCGAGTCTTAGCATTCCACTGAATTGTCATATTCGTTTACTAAGAATTTTCAGATCATTGACAGAAACAGCGAGAAGTGGCCAGATTAAGTCACCTTACTACCCTGGCAAGACTGTAAGCTAATAACATGGCACTACACTTGGGCATCTACTAAGATAAACACACCACACTTCATATCAAGCTAAAGGGGTTAGTGCCACCAGTATCAGGGAGACCAAGATGACCCATAAATACAAGAGACTGGACACATGTTATAGCTTCAATTTACGATAATCAGAAGCCTTGGATCATGTACTAAGTGCACATTCAAGTTTTTGTAAGAGTCAGGTAAGAAACTTGTCAGGGAAACCAAAGACCTCAAAAGTGATAGCTTTCTTTGAGGATACGCGTCTGCGATCCAGAGAAAAATATCTGGCAGTCCTGGACAACGACCACCTCTCAGCTGCATAAAGCGTTTCAAATAAGGTTTATTATGTTACCATATTATTTTCATTTTCAATATTTTGATTTAAATAATTTTTCAAACATTTTTAATATGCAGTTTTGCATATATAATACTTGACACACACACACACATAATATATATATAATATTATATATAATATATATATATAATATATATACTATATATATATATATATATATATATATATTATTATATATATATGTAGTGCCGAATGGCAGAACTTGCGATCTTGGGCTTAAATAGCAACGCTCATCTTGCCATATAGGATAGTGAAAATTTTGTGTATCAATAATTTTCGCCAAATCATTCTGAACCTTAACGAAAAAAGTATATTTCACTGTGTTTATTTAGTTTTAAAATTATTGTAAACAAATCTAAAACATATTAGTTGGGTTAGCTAAAATAATTCGCTTGTTATAAGGCTGGGTAAGTTTTCTAAGTTCCTTTGGTGGCAAATTAAAATTTTTTACTCAACATTAATGAAAAAAATATATCTTTAAACGTATAAGAGTAAATTTTTGAAGGGCTTAATTTTAAATGAGTTCTTTGCTAATTTACCATTTTACATATTCCAGACATATTATAATATATATATATTGGGGTGACCTGTGTTGATCGCCGTAGACCAGGTAAAGCCAGACATCTGCAGAACCGAAAACACTCATGGGTCCTCACTCCACAACCTGAAAAAAAAGTCATTTGATTCCCTTTCACTGAAAAGAAATTAACAGTCATGTACTGGTCTGTTTATTTAAAATAACATTAAGTTGAGATTTAAAGATCAATATGTACTCTACCTCCTGTACAACACTGCCAAATACTTATTTTTCTGACCTTAAAAACAATTATGCAGATTTTTTTTTAGAAACACTTTTTGAAATTTAAACCAGAATAACAAATACTTTTCTCAACCGGGATTAGGTTGAAAAAAAATAATTCTGAATTAAGAACTGGTTAAAAGATTTCATCGAGTGAGAGAAAATTTCTGGGCTATGAAAAAAAATGAACCGTGTTTGTAATACTTTGTTTAAAGAAAGAATGAAGAATAACTTTCGTAAAATATAAAGTGAAGTAATCCCACACACCAGTGGGAACATCCCGGCTGATACCTGGAGGTCTGATAAGCGCCGCGCACACCCAACAACGATGTGCGAGTGGACCCGCCGCACACCCAAAAACGATGTGCTGATTGGCCCGCCGCACACCCAACAACGATGGCGAGTGAGCGCCGCCGCCACCCAACAACGAATGTGTCTGAGTGAGCGCGCCGCACACCCAACAACGATGTCTGAGTGAGCGCCGCCGACACCCAACAACGTGTGCTGAGGACCCCGGGCCGCACCCAACAACGATGTGCGAGTGAGCGCCGCCGCACCCAAAAACGATGTGCTAAAGTGAGCCCGCCCCCCCGTTTCCCCACCCACAACGATGGCTGAGTGACCCCCGCCGCACACCCAACAACGGATTTTGCTGAGGGGAGCGCCGCCGCAACCCAACAACGATGTGCTGAGTGAGCGCCGCCGCACACCCAACAAGGATGTGCTGAGTAAGCGCCCCCGCCACCCAACAACGATGTGCTGAGTGAGCGCCGCCGCACACCCAACAACGATGTGCTGAGTAAGCGCCGCCGCACCCCCAACAACGATGTGCTGATGAGCGCCCCCGCCACCCAACAACGATGTGCGATAAGCGCCGCCGCACACCCAAACAACGATGTGCTGGGGTAGCGCCCCCGCACACCCAACAACGATGTGTGAGGAAGCGCCGCCGAAACACCCAAACAACGATGGTTAAATACAAAGCCACCATTAAAAACATTTGCAATTTGAATCCGACATTTGAAAAACCTAAAGTCTCCACGAAACCTGAAAAGAATAGGTTGGGGGGGGGAGCAAGCCGCACACCCCTGACAACAACCATAGGTTGAGGAGGGTTAGCAACCCGACACACCCTGACAACAACCAGTAGTTAGGAGGGTAGCAGAGCGCACACACCCTGACAACAACCATAGGTGAGGAGGTAGCAGAGCGCACACACCCTGAACAACAACCAGTATTGAGGGGGTAGCAGAGCGCACACACCTGACAACAACCTTAGGTTAAAGAGGGTACAGAGCGCACACACCCTACAACAACCAGTAGGTTGAGGAGGGTAGCAGAGCGCACACAACCCTGACAACAACCAGTAGGTTGAGGAGGGTAGCAGAGCGCACACACCCTGACAACAACCAGTAGGTTGAGGAGGGTAGCAGAGCGCACACACCCTGACAACAACCATAGTTAAAGGAGGGTAGCAGAGCGCAAAACACCCTGACAACAACCAGTAGGGTTGAGGAGGGTAGCAGGGGGCGCACACACCCTGACAACAACCAGTAGGTTGAGGAGGGTAGCAGAGCGCACACACCCTGACAGCAACCAGTAGGTTGAGGAGGGTAGCAGAGCGCACCCCACCTGACACAACCAGTAGGTTAAAGGAGGTAGCAGAGCGCACACACCCTGACAACAACCAGTGGGTTGAGGAGGGTAGCAGAGCGCAAAACACCCTGACAACAACCAGTAGGTTGAGGAGGGTAGCAGAGCGCCACACCCTGACAACAACCAGTAGGTTGAGGAGGGTAGCAGAGCCACACACCCTGAAAACAACCAGTAGGTTGAGGAGGGTAGCAGAGCGCACACACCCTGACAGCAACCAGTAGGTTGAGGAGGGTAGCAGAGCGCACACACCCTGACAACAACCAGAGGTTAAAGGAGGGTAGCAGAGCGCAACACACCCTGACAACAACCAGTAGGTTGAGGGGGGTAGCAGAGCGCACACACCCTGACAACAACCATGGGTGAGGAGGGTAGCAGAGCGCACACACCCTGACAACAACCAGTAGGTTGAGGAGGTAGCAGAGCGCACACACCCTGACAACAACCTAGGTTGAGGAGGGTAGCAAGCGCACACACCCTGACAACAACCAGTGGGTTGAGGAGGTAGCAGAGCGCACACACCCCTGAAAAACACCAGTAGGTTGAGGAGGGTAGCAGAGCGACACCCCCTGACAACAACCATAGGTTGAGGAGGGTAGCAGAGCGCACACACCCTGACAACAACCAGTAGGTTGAGGAGGTAGCAGAGCGCACACACCCTGACAACACCAGTAGGTTGAGGGGTGCAGAGCGCACACACCCTGACAAAAACCAAGGTTTGAGAGGGAGCAGAGCGCACACAACCCTGACAACAACCAGTAGGTTGAGGAGGGTAGCAGAGCGCACACACCCTGACAACAACCAGTAGGTTGGGAGGGTAGCAGAGCGCACACACCCTGACAACAACAGTAGGTTGAGGAGGGTAGCAGAGGGGAAACACACCCTGACAACAACCAGTAGGTTGAGGAGGGTAGCAGAGCGCACACACCCTGACAACAACCAGTAGGTTGAGGAGGGTAAGCAGAGCGCACACACCCTGACAAAAACCAGTAGGTTGAGGGGGGTAGCAGAGCGCACACACCCTGACAACAACCATAGGTTGGGGAGGGTAAGCAAGCGCACACACCCTGAAAAACAACCAGTAGGTTGAGGAGGGTAGCAGAGCGCACACACCCTGACAACAACCAGTAGGTTGAGGAGGGTAGCAGAGCGCACACACCCTGACAAAAACCAGTAGGTTGAGGGGGGTTTAGCAAGCGCACACACCCTGACAACAACCATTTAGGTTGAGGAGGGTAGCAGAGCGCACACACCCTGACAACAACCAGTAGGTTAAAGGGGGGGTGCAGAGCGCACACACCCTGCAACAACCAGTGGTTGAGGAGGGTAGCAGAGCGACACACCCTGACAACACAGTAGGTTGAGGAGGGTAGCAGAGCGCACACACCCTGACAACAACCATAGGTTGAGGAGGGTAGCAGAGCGCACACACCCTGACAACAACCAGTAGTTGAGGAGGGTAGCAGAGCGCACACACCCTGACAACAACCAGTAGGTTAGGGGGGTAGCAGAGCGCACACACCCTGACAACAACCAGTAGGTTGAGGAGGGTAGCAGAGCGCACACACCCTGACAACCAGTGGGTTTGGGAGGAGGGTAGCAGAGCGCACACACCCTGACAACAACCAGTAGGTTGAGGAGGGTAGCAGAGCCACACACCCTGGACAACAACCAGTAGGTTGAGGGGGGTTTAGCAGAGCGCACACACCCTGACAAAAACCATAGGTTGAGGGGGGTAGCAGAGCGCACACACCCTGAAACAACCAGTAGGTTGAGGAGGGTAGCAGAGCGCACACACCCTGACACAACCATAGGTTGGGGGGTAGCAGAGCGCACACACCCTGACAACAACCAGTAGGTGAGGAGGGTAGCAGAGCGCACACACCCTGACAACAACCAGTAGGTTGAGGAGGGTAGCAGAGCGCACACACCTGACAACAACCATAGGTTGAGGAGGGTACAGAGCGCACACACCCTGACAACAACCAGTAAGGTTGAGGAGGTAGCAGAGCGCACACACCCTGACAACAACCAGTGGGTTGAGGAGGGTAGCAGAGCGCACACACCCTGACAACAACCAGTAGGTTGAGGAGGGTAGCAGAGCGCACACACCCTGAAAAACAACCATTTGGGTTTTGAGGAGGGTAGCAGAGCGCACACACCCTGACAACAACCATAGGTTGAGGAGGGTAGCAGAGCGCACACACCCTGACAACAACCAGTAGGTTGAGGAGGGTAGCAGAGCGCACACACCCTGACAACAACCAGTAGGTTGAGGAGGGTAGCAGAGCGCACACACCCTGACAACAACCAGTAGGTTGAGGGGGGTAGCAGAGCGCACACACCCTGACAAACAACCAGTAGGTTGAGGAGGGTAGCAGAGCGCACACACCCTGACAACAACCAGTAGGTTGAGGAGGGTAGCAGAGCGAAACACACCCTGACAACAACCAGTGTTGAGGAGGGTAGCAGAGCGCACACACCCTGACAACAACCAGTGGGTTTGAGGAGGGAAAGCAGAGCGCACACACCCTGACAACAACCATAAGGTTAGGAGGGTAGCAGAGCGCACACACCTGACAACAACCAGTGGGTTGAGGAGGGTAGCAGAGCGCACACACCCTGACAACAACCAGTAGGTTGAGGAGGGTAGCAGAGCGCACACACCCTGACAACAACCAGTAGGTTGAGGAGGGTAGCAGAGCGCAACACCCGACAACAACCAGTAGGTTGAGGAGGGTAGCAGAGCGCACACACCCTGACAACAACCAGTGGGTGAGGAGGTAGCAGAGCGCAAACAACCCTGACAACAACCATAGGTTGAGGAGGGTAGCAGAGGGGCACAAAACCCTACAACAACAGTGGGTTTGAGGAGGGTAGCAGAGCGCACACACCCTGACAACAACCAGTGGGTTGAGGAGGGTAGCAGAGCGCACACACCCTGACAAAAACATAGGTTGAGGAGGTAGCAGAGCGCACACACCTGACAAAAATCCAGTAGGTTGAGGAGGGTAGCAAGCGCACACACCCTGACAACAACCATAGGTTGAGGAGGGTAGCAGAGCGCACACACCCTGACAACAACCAGTAGGTTGAGGGGGGTAGCAGAGCGCACACACCCTGACAACAACCAGTAGGTTGAGGAGGGTAGCAGAGCGCACACACCCTGACAACAACCAGTAGGTTGAGGAGGGTAGCAGAGCGCACCACACCCTGACAACAATCAGTAGGTTTGAGGAGGGTAGCAGAGCGCACACACCCTGACAACAACAGTAGGTTGAGGAGGGTAGCAGAGCGCACACACCTGACAACAACCATAGGTTGAGGAGGGTAGCAGAGGGGCCCCACACCCTGACAAAAACCAGTAGGTTGAAGGAGGTAGCAGAGCCCAAAACCCTGACAACAAACCAGTAGGTTGAGGAGGGTAGCGAGCGCACACACCCTGAACAAAAACCCAGTGGGTTGAGGAGGGTAGCAAGCGCACACACCTGACAACAACTAGGTTGAGGAGGGTAGCAGAGCGCACACACCCTGACAACAACCAGTAGGTTGAGGAGGGTAGCAGAGCGCACACACCCTGACAACAACCGTAGGTTGAGGAGTAGCGAGCGCACACACCCTGACAACAACCAGTAGGTTGAGGAGGGTAGCAGAGCGCACACACCCTGACAACAACCAGTAGGTTTGAGGAGGGTAGCAGAGCGCACACACCCTGACAACAACCAGTAGGTTGAGGAGGGTGCAGAGCGCACACAACCCTGACAACAACCAGTAGGTTGAGGAGGTAGCAGAGCGCACACACCCTGACAACAACCAGTAGGTTTTGGGGAGGGTAGCAGAGCGCACAAAACCCGACAACAACCAGTAGGTTGGGGAGGGTAGCAGAGCGCACACACCCTGACAACAACCAGTAGGTTGAGGGGGGTAGCAGAGCGCACACACCCTGACAACAACCAGTGGGTTTTGGGAGGGTAGCAGAGCGCACAACACCCCCTAAACAACAACCAGTAGGTTGAGGAGGGTAGCAGAGCGCACACAACCCTGACAACAAACCAGTGGTTGGGAGGGTAGCAGAGCGCACACACCCTGACAACAACCAGTAGGTTTAGGAGGGTAGCAGAGCGCACACACCCTGACAACAACAGTAGGTTGGGAGGTAGCAGGCGCACACACCCTGACAACAACCAGTGGGGGTTGGGGGGGTAGCAGGGGCGACACACCCTGACAAAACCGGGTAGGTTGAGGAGGGAGCAGAGGCACACACCCGACAACAACCAGTAGGTTAGGAGGGTAGCAGAGCGCACCACCCGACAACACCAGTAGGTTGGGAGGGGTAGCAGAGGCACACACCCTGACAACATCAGTAGGTTGAGGAGGGTAGCAGAGCGCACCCAACACCCTGACAACAACCATAGGTTAGGAGGTAGCAGGCGCACACACCCTGACAACAACCAGTAGGTTGAGGAGGGTAGCAGAGCGCACACACCCTGACAACAACCAGTAGGGTTGAGGAGGGTAGCAGGCCCCAAAACACCCTGACAACAACCAGTAGGTGAGGAGGGTACCCAGAGCGCACACACCCTGACAACAACCAGTAGGTTGAGGAGGGTAGCAGAGCGCACACACCCTGACAACAACCAGTAGGTTGAGGAGGGTAGCAGAGCGCACACACCCTGACAAAACCAGTAGGTTGAGGAGGGTAGCAGAGCGCACACACCCTGACAACAACCAGTAGGTTGAGGAGGGTACAGACCCGCCACACACCCTGACAACAACCAGTAGGTTGAGGAGGGTAGCAGAGCGCACACACCTGACAACAACCAGTAGGTGAGGAGGGTAGCAAGCGCACACAACGACAACAACCACCATAACACCACTGATAAATATGTATAAAAGCATAGCAAAAATTGGAAAGTGCGGAAGATAGATGATATCATTGTCTGGCGACCACCAGTGTGCAACTTTCTCTTATAATATTAATATAATGGTGACAGAAAAAACATTTCCATGAAAATGTCTGGAAGCATTTTCTAAATTTATTCAGTATGTTAATTTAATATTCATAAATCTATATCAGCCCGTATTATAGCAGACCAGAAGAAACAACTTTGTTGCTAAATGATTGTGTAGTGTCATGCAACACTTTCACACTCACGCAATAATTATTACATACTATATACACCAATTATGCATGCCTTGGTACAACACTTACACATACTCTGGTGTAACACTTATACATACTCTGGTGTAACACTTATACATACTCTGGTGTAACACTTTTACATACTCTGGGTAACACTTATACATACCTCGTGTAACACTTATACATACTCTGGTGTAACACTTATACATACTCTGGTGTAACACTTATACATACTCTGGTGTAACACTTATACATACTCTGGTGTAACACTTATACATACTCTGGTGTTTAAAACTTATACATACTCTGGTGTAACACTTAAAACATACTCTGGGGTAACACTTATACATACTCTGGGTAACACTATACATACTCTGGTTTTAACACTTATACATAAATCTGGTGTAACACTTATACATACTCTGGGGTAACACTTATACATACTCTGGTGTAACACTTATACATACTCTCGTGTAACACTTATACATACCCCTCGTGTAACACTATACATACTCTGGTGTAACACTTTTTACATACTCTGTGTAACACTTATACATACTCTCGTGTAACACTAACATCTCTCGTGTAACATTATACATACTCTCGTGTAACACTTTTACATACTGGTTAACACTTATACATACTCTGTGTAAAAACTTATACATAAATCTCGTGTAACACTTATACAAACCTCTGTAACACTTATGCTACTCTCGGTAACATTTTACATACTCTCGTGTAACACTTATACATACTCTCGTGTAACACTATGCATACTCTCGTGTAACACTTTACATACTCTCTGTAACACTAGGGAACTCCGTGTAACACTTAGCAAACTCTCGTGAAACCACCTATAATATTATAAAGATATATATATATATAAAAAATATATATATATATAAATTTTTTATATTATATATAAATATATTATCAGTACTCTTATGCAACAAATATGCATAAAGACTGCCATGCAACAAGCATGACGCAAGTTATACATGCTACTATACAGAAGATGGTATGGGAACGTAATAAGATATTTAATTAACTAACTTTATACAGTCAGGTCACGGAAAATCAGTTATTTAACAAACTGTTGCACTTGTCTTGTTAGAATAAATAAAGAAACATTATTTTAACACGCAGAAAGTTTTTTTATGCCACGGTTGTATAAGAAATGGTTTACAAATTTTAAAAGATTCATCATCATTTTGTTTTACATTTTCAATCTCAAATCTTCCAGATGTAAATTAGGTTGGGGCAGGCAGGTATGAAGTCTCACTTTCACATTAAAACAGGATTTAATTTCTGAACATAAAATTACATGGGAAGCCGATGGACAGGCCAAAGCCTGGTCCAACAACTGGCTCTTGATTTTAACCCCCCAAATGCAAAGTCATTTAAGATCGGAAGGGCAAAGAAGACGCAGAATAGAGTAAGTTAGGGACCAAAAACTGCAAACCTCACTCAAGGAAGAAAATTTTGGGGTAGTATAATACCGACGAATCTCCTGAGGGCACATCAACCAATAACTGCTGCGCATATGGGCGTCTGGCAAACCAAGAATACGTTCCGATATCTCAGTAAGAATCGTTCAAGACTCTGTACACAATATACGTCAGGCCCCATAAGGGGTATGCAGCACCAGTTTGGAATCCAACCTGGGGCAAGCACGTCAATAAAATAGAGAAAGGCAAAGGTTTGGAACAGACAAGTTCCAGAGCTAAAAGGATTTTCCTACCAAAGAAAGGGTTTAAGGAAATCGGGGCCCGACGACCCTGGGGGACAGGATGGTCAGGGGAAACATGATAACGAAATTACAAAATACTGAAGGAATTGACAAGGGGGACAAAGAAGGGTGTTCCAGAGATGAGACACAAAAACAAGGGGTCCACAATTGGAAGTTGAAACTCAGATGAGTCAAAAGGATGTTAGGAAGTATTCCTTCAGTCAGAGTTTTTCCCAAAGGTGGGAAAAGCCAAGAAAGTGACGGGTTGGGGCGGAACCATACATATTTTTAAACGAAGTTTGATAAAGCTCATGGAGGGAGGAGAGAGAGGACCTATACAACCATTAAGAGGCGGGCCAGGAGCTATGACTCGAACCCGCAACCACAAATACGTGAGTACAAATGGAGTACTGTAAACCCCGCGGTCTAAGAAGGAGTGTTTTATATCTTTAAAGCTGTCAAATCCATAAGGGTCCCTTAAGGTTACATGTTACCTGTACACCACGTAAAGGTTACTTTAAATTCAGTAACTTTCAGAGTATAACACTGAGGTTCACATATCTCCCCCTGTAATCAAACCTGAATACAATGTATGAAGGTGACGTAATGCCCTGGCCCGAGGACTTTGAGCCTGACACAAACGTGATGACCCTCACATCCGGCAGTGTTAGCCTCACCCACCAGCTCAGGTTAGGTCTGGTGACCAACACCTTGTGTGGACCACTACGGTCAGCACCCTGGGGAAAGGCAGACACAACAATGCTTAATTAAATATTTTATGATTCTATTAGGTATTGTAGGAAAAGAGTAGACAGCTACATCCACGATCTTTGAAATTATCAGAGAAAATAGATAAAATAACAGAGTCTGCAGTTGTAAACCGAGATTATCATCATTACACTCACAAGAGAGCACTAAACCAGTATTAATCATTCAGCGCTATATAAACTGAGATAAAAGTGGCAACGAGGGTATACTAGAGTGCTAGACAGTTTTTCTTTATAAATGAGGTGACCTAAGATGTGGTATGTACAACAAGCACTGTGTGTACTCACCTAATTGTACTCACCTAATTGTGGTTGCAGGGGTCGAGACTCAGCTCCTGGCCCCGCCTCTTCACTGATCACTACTGGGTCCTCTCTCTCTCTGCTTCCTGAGCTTTGTCATACCTCTTCTTAAAACTATGTATGGTTCCTGCCTCCACTACTTCACTTGCTAGGCTATTCCACTTGCTGACAACTCAACTGTGTGTGTGTGTGTGTATGTGTATTATGTAAAATATCGCAAACCAAGCGATACAGGATGCAAAACAACCACGTGGGGAGTAGAATGATAGCTCTAGGTCTTTCGTGTTGCAATCAACACATTAGGAGCTTGCAAAATTGCAAAAAATGGAGGATGTCCAAGAAAGTACGTTCCCAGAGGACCGTCTTCACTGACTGAAGACGGTCCTCTGGGAACGTATGTGCTTGGACATCCTCCTGTTTTCTGCAATTTTGCAAGCTCCTGATGTGTTGATTGCAACACGAAAGACCTAGAGCTATCATTCTACTCCCCACGTGGTTGTTTTTTGCATAATATATATATATATTATATATATATTATATATATATATATATTTATATATATATGTGTGTGTGTGTGTGTGTGTGTGTGTGTGTGTGTTGCAAAAAACGCGATATCTAGTAATGATAGAGATCTCCAGTGAATACTAGAAAGGACTGCCCTTCTAGCATCCAGCCTGTTACTGGGTTTTTGTAACAAGTAGTCAGTATCCTGGTCCAATTATCCATTAGAATTTAGTAAGATTCAATAGTGCTTCAGGATCACAACTGGTAGGCTACTAACTAAAGAAATTAAAATTTAATAAGTTTATTAATAACAATAAAGTTGTCTAGGCGTAAACAATCAAAGTAAATTATAGTAATCAATTGAATATAATATAGGATACAAGTTGCTACACTTTTCTGGTGTACAGTAGTACTGTGCTGAAGGTACATATCACATCTTTATGGCTTTTAAGTACCGTCTGGTACAGTGTTAACATTTAATAACATAATACATATACATACAAGTAAGCTTGTGTGTATGTGTGTGAGTGCTCTAAGTAGTTCGCTATGTCTCAAGACTCGACTAGACTTAGCCAGTGACTGACTAAAAGTCCTCACATAAACTAACTTCTTGACCAACCTGGAAATCAGAACGACTTGCTTGAACAATAAAACGACTGTTAAGCCGAACAGCAATATAACAAGCAACAGCGACACAATCAGGAACAAGGAGATAATATAACGACACTTAGTAGGGACATCTGCAGATCCTCCACAAAAGTCACAAAACTCCCATACTACTGAATTTAAGTTCAACATTAGAAAATCCCCGACTGTGACAACACACAGATACCAGTACAAATTAGGTCACAAGCTACTGCTCAGGACCTGAGTTTCTCAGTGTCTATGCGACACACAACCTCAGTACAACGTCGAAAATCACTAAGTCTAGGCTATGCTCTGTGAACAGAGTTACACAGAACAAGAAAGCGACAGAGACGATCTTCCAACAAGGGCCCACAATGGAGAGCTGGAGAGGCACGTCTTGTTGGAAGCAACGTCAAACAGACAAGAGAAAGTGCAGCCAAGGCAGACTCTCCTCCAGGTGAGGTGTGATCATCCCACCCTGATCACGTGACTCTCTGTAGACTGCTGCTGCCCAGCAACCACAGAAAAGCCAGCAGCAAAACAAGCGGAGTGGTAGTTACAGTATTAGACAATGCGGCAGCTACTTAACACTCTCGAGCAATGACCACTGAATAATGTGTAAATGTTACATCCTACCTAATAATATAACTAAGTCAAATAATAATATAAAGCAATATATTTACGATTTAGCTAATATTGCAAATATAAGCAATATAAAATTATATGAACAGGTAATATACATTATATACATTGTGACCCATTCAGGGGTCGCAATAATATATATATATATATATATATATATATATATATATATATATATATATATATATATATATATATATATAACTGGAGACGAGGCAGCACGAGCACTAGCTTTGCTTGTGCACCAATATATCAACAGACAATCACACAACTCATCTTTCTCAGTAAACTTTGATCAGCAACACTGAGCGCTGATCATGTTTGATTTTCTATTTAAATGTGTGAAGAACAAAGATGTTATTAAGGCAGTAGATACTCGGGCATTGTATGGCTAGTAAACTGAGGAAGCTCGGTGTAAGGTGACACTTGTACTGTTTCCTGACTAACAAAACACTACCACTTGCTTACCTCAAATGACCTCATATAAGCCAGCTGGTGTCGGGTTGGCTCCTGGGGTCGCCCAAGGTCAAGCCAGGCCTGGTAGGGCCCCAGCTGGCCAAGCCCCAGCTGGTATGACACCACGAACAACTCCTCTGTAGACGAGAGATACAAAGCTTCAGGGCTGGGTTGGAATTGTATCTTCTGCGTTGATTATATTTATATATTTAGTACCTTCCAACGAGAGTGCCTTGCTGTCAGGGAAGGGCTCTTGATCCAGGTAATAGAAGCTACCCTCTTGTATCAGATTTGATTTCCTCCCATTTCCCGGGTGCTTTATGGCCCCTACGGGATTACCGCTTTCCCATAATTATAATAATATATGTATTTCGTAACGAATGAGTGTGTAGGTGATGTGTGCTTTCCCAGTTGTATGGAGGGGGAAGTAGTTGAATCTCAGCTCTTGGCACCACCTTTTAAACTACAACAGTCGGCATTACTTGTTTCTATCTTCTTGGAACCTATTATATCTACTCTTGAAATTCAGTATTAAGGTTATCTCCATATCTAGTTCATTCTTCTTTTGTTACACTGATATTGAAGAAGTTTTTGCTAAGATTCCTGTTTCTCGTCTGTATTGTTAGGTGACATCTATGCCCCTCGTTCCAGTATCTAGTATTTATGTATTCCTATCTGCCCTGTCAACTCGTCTGGCTGTCATGTCTCCTCTGGTCTTTCTCTCTTAAGTCGTAAGTAAGGTTTACCTCCCTTAGTTTTGCCTCATCTCTCAATTACCTCAGCACTGGAACTAATCTTGTTGCAAACTCTGACTTTCTTAAGTTTTCCAATATGCTCGACTATGAGTGGGCTCCATACTGGTGCTGCGGACTCTACAGTAGACCTGACGTATGTAGTGTAATTATGTATTTAAGTTTGCGTGGTTAAGCTTTAGCACTTCGTGTGTTTGTGTCTACCGTCCTTACTGTAGCCTATCATGTTACCTCCCAGGAGGTGCCGAGGGAGAGCCAGGGACACCCTCGCCGTCAGCGTCTCCCTCGTGGAGCTCTCACTCCCGTTGGAGAGCGACAGCACTACTGTTGCTTCCCATCTCCCGTTGGCCTCTTCCGACTTCCGTTTTACCTCACCGTTTCTGTTAACATTCTTCCATGTATGTCGCTCTGGTGTTCCCTTAATGCGTGTCGTCGTCTGGATAGATGGTAATTGGCAGCGACGACACGATGAAATGACAGAAAGTCTGAAAGCCAGAAGAAATAACCTTAAGTTTTTAAACTGAGTGAATAGTATATAAAAACTCTCTTATAATAAATATTAATATTATTGCAAACTGAGATGTTACACTGTCATGAAGGAAAGAAAGCGTACAAACAAAGCGATAAGAAGATTCCAATGTTTTTCACGTGGTAATCCCGCCACTGTACACCTGTACTACTGTGGAACATACTTATTGAAAGGAGATTTAACTTTTTACTGTTAGCAAGTGTATAGATAAATTATTCTGACCGTGGATGGCTGAGACCACGGAGTATGGTGGTCAAGTAGTGGTCTCCCAGAAGAGACAACAGCCCCATGATAGTGTAGGCTGGCTTCTTCACCAGTTGCACTTGCCGCGGCGTGGTGCAGTTGATCTGGAACCTGCAGCATACAAAGTTATAAGAGTTGGTTGGTCTTCCTTTGGATCGTTCAGAAGTGAATGCAAGTTAACACGTTAAAGAACGATACATATGAAGGACGAGTTATACCATTAAAGGAGAGGCGCCATTCTTGTTGATGCCGGATACATCAGCTCTTAACCTGACACACACACACACACACACATCATCGATTTCGTTCCAGTAATGAAAATTAAGTATACGCACTGCTGCCGGAAGTTCCACGAAGCTGTCATGAAGATAAACACAGAGTTTCTTCCAACATTAATATTGACCACAATTTCCCATACTACAATAAAAAGTGTTTTTTTTTTTAAAGAGGAAAACACGTACAGTTATAACACTTGATGGCCTCAGGTTACCACTGGGGTGCCACAAGGATCAGTACTACCCCCATTAATCTTTTAATTTATATGAACAAATTAACAAAACAAATAAATCACTTTTCAATATATATATATACAAATTGTCAAATAAAAACGGGCATAATCCCCATAAACAAGTGGATAGTTGGCACAAATGGCGTGATAGATGAACGATGTAATTTAACGATGAGGAAAGAGGAGAAATGCAAAACTTGAGTGTGTAGATTATATTAAAATTATGGAAAACATCAGAGTGAGATCTGCAGGTAATTGTAAACAACAGTCCCACTACAACACGTAAATACAGCATTTGTATATTATGTTATTATAGTCCACTTTATATTTATTATATTCAAAAAGAAGCGCTAAATCTACAAGGGTTATATAGCGCAGTCCACTTTAAAATATTCATTTATATGGATGGTAACATGCTTGCTTAAGATGTTGTTTACAGTGTGTCAGAACAAAGTTGTAACACAAGCACACCTAAAGAAACCTGGAGATGAAGTACCCTGTTCATGGCTTTAAAAAGAATACAGGAGAGAAGCAGAGTTGGTTCTCACCTGGCCATCATAGTGCGTTGCTCGAAGAAGCTGGGACGGTAGTTGAGGAAGGCGTTATCAAAGCTGATGAGGTTGATGTGCGGGAGTGTTGTCTGAGCCAGCTGGTGTATGTACACAGAGCGGACGACTAGAGCGGCATACCTGGCGTCTGCCCTCCACTCCAACCCTCGCCACCAACCCTTCAGGAAGTCAGCTTCGCTGCGGTGAACAATGAGAAGGGCTTAGTTACCCAGGCTGACCCATGAAAGCCTATCAATGTGGCTTATTTATATTACGATTCTTTGATCCTCTCTCCCCAGGATACGACTCACAACAGTCGGCTAACGCCCAGGTACCTGTTTACTGCTAGGTGAACAGGGGCAGCAGGTGCGCGTGCTTCCCTGTTGAGTTCTAAGTATTTTTGGATGACAGGCGGTAGAAAATCAGCTACTCACATCTGTATGTCATCAATGTCTAAACAAAATATATGCTCAAATCAGACTGAATTTCATTCCGCAGCCACCGCATGATCTCTCAGTGTTCAGTGATCACAGAGAAATATAAACCAATATACACTTACCTTCACTCTTACCGCAACATAACAGCGCTTTAATATATTTATTTTTATACTTTTTTTCTGGTTATTTGTTGTTAAAGACCTGCTCCTCCCTTCTCTCGTTAATGTAACTTATTTTAAGTTAGGTTAATGTTAATCTAAATATTTAGATTAACATTAATCTAACTTAAAATAAGTTAAATTAACGAGAGAAGGGAGGAGCAGGTCTTAGATATAACCGGAGTCTAATATACTGGCTGGAAGATGTGTTTGTTAAGGTCCTCTATCAACATAGGCACTCAGATGCGTAACACAGACCTGGAATCAACTTCTACTAGTAAGAATGGCTGGATTTGAGAGGGGCCTGACCTCTCAACGACTACATTCTTACCTCTACTAGTGGCCTACATCTCAACTCCTGGCGTTATATAAGGCTCCATCCTGTCACTTCAACTCCATATTATTTCAGACTATGGAACAATACTCTTCTCCAGACTGAGGGACTGACCACCTCAAAACTTCAAGGGTGATGGACTGATTACATCGTCTTCAAGTCTCTTCTGCTTCTATCAACTTTTCTGTACTCGACTGAAGAAGCCTACTGTGTAGGCGAAACGTTTCGAAATAAAGATGCCTAACTGTTGCATATGTGTCTTACCTAACAACCTGTCGGTATTTTATACCTTATAATGTTCAAAATGAGCGTACTTATAAGAGAGGGTTGAGACAGTAGTCTGCCTCGCTGCTCACTATTGTTGCCTCATACCATGAATACTTAAATACTACAACAGAAACACAATGGAGAGACATTTATTTTCCCTTTTAAGAAAGCCAATAGATTTGTTTGGCTAGTCTTTTTGTTTCTCGGTTTATTTTTCCTTTTACTCCAGAAATAAATAACTAGAAGCACTCCTGGTGGTGACTTACACACTGTAACTACACAATATTAAGTGTGAGGTGCTGGATGGCGACTCACACTGCAGGATACCCAACACTCTCTTAGATTTTGACTGGAAATTTGTGAACAAACTGAGTTGGTAAGTTATTGTGACTTTACTATGTGATATTAATAACATTAATTATAACTGCAATAATAATAATAATTACTAATAATATATAATATTACTATAAACCCTTTCACCTGTATGCATTACTAAATTTAAAACGGGAAACTTTTGTTTTTCTTTCAAAGTCAATCTGTCTCAGTGGGATGTCGCCGGGTGGATGAAAAAAAAAATACTAATATAATAATTTCGTATACCTCACCAACTTACTCATTCACCATAGGTAGGTGTCGTAGACTGGGATAGTTGGTAGTGATGGTGTTGATGGTATCCAGCTCCTGGTCCAGGATGGAGTCAGCCTCGCTAGAACCTCGTATCACCAGCAGGAAAAATATACATACTTGTGACTAATATTTTTTACACAATCTCCCAATAAAAAATTACATGTTCCAAGGTGTTTGTGAAGAGTTGAATATAATTAATGAAACATTGTTAAAAATGTATAAATATATATATATATATATATATATATATATATATATATATATATATATATATATATATAATATATATATATGTCGTACCGAATAGGTAAAATTGGTCAATTAGCAAGAACTCATTTAAAATGAAGTCCTTTTCTAAAAAATTTCTCTTATATGTTTAAAGATAAATATATTTCGTTCATGTTAATGTAAAAATTCATAATTTTGTACCAAAAGAACCTTAAAAAACTTACCTAACCTTATTATAATAAGCGCAATTTAATTTAGCCTAACCCAACTAAATATATTTTAGATAAGTTTACAATTTAATAATAAACAAACACAATGATATATATTTTTTTCTTCAGGTTCAAAGGTTCAGAATGATTTCTGCGAAATTATTGCATTAACAAATCTTCGCTTGCCTTATTCGGCAAGAAGAGCGTTGCTATTTAAGCCAAAATCGGAAATTTTACCTATTCGGTATATATGCAGAACAAGCACAGTGAAAAAATATAGTTCCTTGATACACCAATAACCCGCACATAGGAGAGAGGAGCTCATGACGATGTGCGGGTCCGACTTGAACCATTTACAAAGTAACACTGAGCTGCTCTCTATGTGCGGGTTATTTGTGTATTTGTTCAGTCACGGTAGTTAGTTTAATATGTTTATTATGCACCCCATACCCATCCTGTGGGCGGTAGTCAAAAGATTACAGAGGTACATAATTGGTCCAGGGACTGGACTCCAAAGTTTTGATAGCTGAGCAAGTTACAAAGGTAATGAACTAGATATGGTCATAATCATGACCAAGTTACAAAGGTAATGAGCTCCAGGTAGAGCTGGTCACACTCATGAATAATTGCAAAAGTAATGAATCATAAACACATTAATCATGAGAATTTACAAAGGTAATGAGCTCCAGGTAGAGCTGGTCACAATCATGACAAGTTTCAAAGGTAATGAATGATAAACACGTTATCACATGATTACAATCATAGACAAATTACAGAGTAATGAACAGTAAACAAACATAGCAGGGAATTCATCCATTGCCCCAACAACAGATGTTGCTAGGTGCCTGTCTCTCCTCGGTAGACAGCCATTGCAAACAGCAGCAAGTTGCCCTGGATCTGCTGCTTGCACGAGCACCATCGACCCTCCCCAAGAGGTCCAAGAAGCCAGTGACTCCGTTAGCAGCCCGATGGAGAGCTCCCCTAGGGACATGTCAGCGTCCTGGTGGACGCCAAGTTGATTGAAGATCCCAGGCCCTCGTGTGCACGGATGTTGAAGCTTGAGGAACTGAGTACACACTGCCTGTGGCACACCTGACAGCTGCCTCGCGGTCGAACTCCACGATGCTGTCCTGTAGTGGAAGTTCCTGTGAGCCCGGCACTCCCTGCAGTGCCATCGCTGACATCGTGGGTTAGGGGAGAAGTACCCTCTACTGATGGGGTGGCGCTGGGAGTTGGGTGGGTGAGGCGGGGGAGACGCGCAGGTGTGAGGCGTTATGAGAGGGTCACTGTTTACTACACACGCCCTCCCCCTCCCCCCCAGCGGAGAGGGGGGGAGGCGCTGACTGGTCCTGACTCGACAACACCAAATCCTCTGAAACTGCACAACACTTCAACTATTTACGCTGAAACGATGCACTGGGATGTCCGTTCGCTGCTCTGGTATCTTCTCCAAGCATTCACACTGAGTTCTGTTAAGTAGGGACCTGGTCAGCCTCTTTGACCAGGAGCTATCCTTGAAAATCCCGCAACTAGCCCGCTACACAACCTGCCGTGTCGGCCATGTTGAGCCCTGTCTGCAGTCACGGTATTATGCCTTTTTGTTATTTATAGCTCCTAGTAATGTGAGAAGTCACGAAAACGCTTGGAATTTCACTATTTTTTTCACACTGGCTGTTCTGCATATTGTGATATCACCTGTTTACTGTGATCTTATTGCATATATATATATATATATATATATATATATATATATATATATATATATATATATATATATATATATATATGCATTCAAACACACACACATACACACCTTTCTTGTGAAAAGAGATGAAGTCAATCGTAGGAGGTTTTCCTGGGGTGAAGTAGGATGAGCCATTGTGGCAGTGTTGAAGAATTGCCCAGCAGAAGGTGAAGAAGTTAGGGGGGTGACAAGACCCCCCGGGGCCACCAAGCACAAGACTCTCGGATACTTCCTTCAGGCCGGCGCTACACGCGTCGAAGTAGTTGAGGAACCCTGTGTAAGAGTGACAACTACTTGGGTACACTTAGGTAGAGTTTCTGTCTTATGATTATCAAGATCAATTTTCAGCACTTACTGCACCTAGAAAGGAATGAGATTATACACGGTAACCGGTGTCACAAACCTACTTGAGTTTTATACAAGGTGACAGATGTAAGACAGGAGAGTGTGAGGTGGGTAGATTGCATTTTCTTGGACTGCAAGAAGGTTTTCGACACAGTTCCGCAAAGAGATTAGTGCGAAAGCTAGAGGAGCAGGCAGGAATAAGGGGGAAGGTATTGCAATGGATCAGAGAATACCTGAAGGAAACAACAAGTGATGGTACGTGACGAGGTGCTAGAGTGGGCGCCTGTGATGAGTGGGGTTAGGGCCGGTGCTGTTTTGGATGTATGTGAATGACATGACAGAAGGGATGGATTCAGGGGTGTTCCTGTTTGCAGATAATGTGAAGCTATTATAGAAAATTCAAGTGAATGAGGATCAGGTGGGACTACAAAGGGATCTGGACAGGCTGCAAGCCTAGCCCCACAACTGGCTCCTGAAATTTAACTCCACCAAATGCAAAGTCATGAAGATTGGGGAAGGTGAAAGAAGACTGCAGACAAAGTATAGGCTAGGGAGCCAAAGACTACAAACGTCACTTAAGGAAAAGGATCTTGGAGTGAGTATAATACCGAGCACATCTCTTGAAACTCACGTCAGCCAAATAACTGCTGCAGCATATGAGCGCCTGGCATTTCGACACCTGAGTAAGGAATCATTCATGACTCTGTACACCGTGTACGTCAGGTTCAGGCCCATATTGGAGTATGCAACACCAGTATGGAACTCACAACTGGTCAAGCACGTTAAGAAATTAAAGAAAGTGCAAAGATTTGCAACAAGACTAGTCCCGGAGATAAAGGGTATGTCCTACGAGGAGAGGTTAAGGGAAATCGACCTGACGACATTGGAGGACAGGGGGGGGGATATGATAACGACATATAAATACTGAGATGAGTCACATATGAGTCAGAGATGTTAGGAAGTATTTCTTCAGTCACAGAGTTGTCAGGAAATGGAACAATCTGGAGAGTGTTGTAGTAGAGGCATGATCCATACATAGCTTCAAGAAGAGATACGATAAAGCTCATAGAAAAAGGAGAGTGGACTTAGTAGTGACCAGCGAAAAGGCGGATCCAGGAGCTGTGACTCGACCCCTGCAAATAGGTAAGTACAGATAAGCACCTACACACACACATACACACACACACACACACACACACACACACACACACACACACACACACACACACACACACACACACACACACGGGGCCAGGAGCTCGGACTCGACCCCCGCAACCTCAACTAGGTGAGTAACACACACACACACACACACACACACACACACACAGGCGAGGTGTCAGAGTGGGCACCTGTGACCAGCGGGGTCCCACAGGGGTCAGTCCTAGGACCAGTGCTGTTTCTGGTATTTGTGAACGACATGACGGAAGGAATAAACTCCGAGGTGTCCCTGTTTGCAGATGACGTGAAGTTGATGAGAAGAGTTCATTCGATCGAAGACCAGGCAGAAATACAAAGGGATCTGGACAGGCTGCAGACCTGGTCCAGCAACTGGCTCCTGGAGTTCAATCCCACCAAGTGCAAAGTCATGAGGATTGGGGAAGGGCAAAGAAGACCGCAGATGGAGTACAGTCTAGGGGGTCAGAGACTACAAACATCACTCAAGGAAAAAGATCTTGGGGTGAGTATAACACCAGGCACATCTCCTGAAGCACACATCAACCAAATAACTGCTGCAACATATGGGCGCCTGGCAAACCTCAGAACAGCATTCTGACATCTTAATAAGGAATCGTTCAGGACCCTGTACACCGTGTACGTTAGGCCCATATTGGAGTATGCGGCACCAGTTTGGAACCCACACCTAGCCAAGCATGTAAAGAAACTAGAGAAAGTGCAA